TTAAAACAGGCTTCGCTACAGTTCTGAGTAGTGCACTGAAATATTTGGAATGTTCCTCTGAGCAAAGAGACCCGGCTAAAATTACAGGCAACTAGCTGTGGCAAATAGCTCATTGCGTCATACAACTGTTCCTGGAAACCAAGGCCAAAGAGGAAAGGTGGAAAGAGCTGAGTAGGCCTAGCCAGCTGAAAGAACAACATGACACCTCTGTCCAAACATCCGACGTAGTGCTGCCCAAGAAGATGGCTCAGAGCGGCCACGTATCCTCTTTCAGGAAGGACAGCCCTTTCTTGGAGAGGGCCACCAAAAGGCAATACTCCTCCTGGAAGGGAGCTCTGAAGGGCTGCCCCGGCCAAGCCGGAACCACAGAGGACAATCACGTTCTGGGTGATGCCCTAAATAGACTCATTTTAATCATTTCATTGGCTGGAATTAAAACTACCAGGTGGAAAGTGTAAGGAAGCTGAAGCAGTGTTAGAGCAAACTGTTATGACAAGAACTACCTAGGATGAATGGACTGCTCTGGAGATGCTGGTCTTTCCTTTGCTGAGGGTAATTGGGCAAGGAGGGCAAAAAGGCCTTCTGTGCTGGGGTGCTGTAGCCGTTCCCCTCTCTTCAACAAGAGAGTCTCTGTGATCCCTTCAGACTCACAAAGGCATCACTTCAAGCTACCATAACACCAAAGAGAGGAGGAATAGAGGAATTCACAGGACATGGGGTTGCCTATGTGTAGCCACTCTGTATGGGGGTGGGTCTGTGAAGAGCTTAAAATCAAGTTACTTTTTAAAAACAAATTAACTCCAGTTGGAGTTCCAAGGCTCCAGAACAGTTGGCTCATAGCTACTTTTAAAGCAGCTATGTAGAACAACAATATCTTCCTCATTTCTCAAAACTAATAGGGGGAAATCCTTTTTAGTTACACAAACATAATCTGCAGCTAAATGGAGAAGCGTAAGCTGAGGGACACCCATCCTTTTAAACCACGTGCAATTCCTCCTTCGCCATGTAGCAAAGTTAAAATTTGTTTCGAAGTTACAGATATACAAGAGGGGTCTCCTCTCATAACAGAAAAGAAGAAGAAGCTACCCTTCATTTTCATTACAGTAGTTGTGAATTTATTATATATTGTATAGCAAAAATAAAACAAATATCACAATACAGTGGTGCTCCGCAAGACGATGTTAATTCGTTCCACTGAAATCGCTGTCTTGTGAAAACATCGTCTTGCGAAAAGAGTTTCCCCATTGGAATACATTGAAATCCATTTAATGCATTCCAATGGGGAAAAATCGTTGTTGTTCTGCGAAAATCGCCCATAGGGAAGCCATTTTGCGAAACGCCAATAAGCTGTTAAAATTGCTGTCTTGCGAAGCATTGATCCCGAAAACACCCGTTTTGCAAAGTGCCGATAAGCTGTTAAAATCGTCGTATTGGGAAAAATGGTCTGCGAAGCACAGACCTAAACACTGTCCAGCAAAAATCGCCCATAGGAAACACTGTTTTGCGAAGCGCTATAGTGATCGCAAAAACTCATCATCATGCAGATTCGTCGTTTTGTGAGGTCATCGTCTAGCGGGGCACCACTGTATATAGAAAAGAACTGTGGTGCCCCAAAAGACTAACAGATGGATTTCAGTGTGAGCTTTTGGGATTATGGTCCACTTCTTTGGACACACAGTGTAAAGTGAGATATTTACTCACAGGTTCATATTCAGGTATGCACTGTGGGGATAGGGGCTTAGGGAAGAAGGGCCCCCACCTCCACAAGAGGTCCTTAACATCCCGTTTCTCAGCTCCTCCTTTTAATGGTGCTTTTATCTGGCAATTGTTTTATACTTGTGCTGTTGTCTTAAACTTTTTTACAGGAGAGATCTCATGACATATGGCAGTACAGAAGCATTCAAACAAAATAAATCCTAGTCAAGTGTGTGAAGATACTCAGATATAGCATTTATATTCCACATTCTGCCTTGAGTTAGAAAGTCTGCCTTTCTTTCTAGCTACCGCTCTGATCCTTTGAGCCCTACAGAACATTGGGAGGAAGGTTTCAGGAAGATAAGAAAGAATCCAAAGGTGCCATGTACGGAGTTAGACCATTGCTCCATCTAGCACAGTACGGTCAACTTGGGTTGATGGTAGTTCTCCAAGATTTCAGGCAGGACATTTTATCTATAACAGGAGGCACTGGTATTCTCCCATACAGGTACTAACCAGATCCAGCCCTTTTTCTCTTCCAAAATCAGGTGAGACCAGGTGTGTTCCGAGTGGTCTGGAACCATACACACCACAGCCTTTTGTGGTTAGTTGCCAGGTATTTGTTCTACTGTCCAACTCTGGTGACCAGATTGAGATGAACTCAAAAATAAGGTAGCGGTTTCTGCATACATGGGAGTGGGAGCAAACATTTTTACATGTTTTTTTACAGGAGATACATGGACATTAGAAGATCAAACAGGGACAAGGTAATATTTGGGATGGAGGCAGCTTCTGTTTTAACACTAGTGGTTCTCACACCCATCTTCTGTTCTATAGAAGCCCCTATCAAGACTCCGCTGGATAGTGCCACTTTGAGCTATTTTGGAGTGAAGCAAAAAAGCAAAGTGTGCTGCTTATACGCCACCCCATAGTGCTTAAAGCACCCTCTGGACAGTTTGCACATCACACACACACACACCAGTGAGTTGGGTACACAATGTACTGACCTCAGAAGGATGGAAGGCTGAGTCAACCTTGGGCTGACTAACAGAACTCACCATGATCAAACTCTGGTAGTGAGCAGTCTTGACTGCACAAAGTTAAACCACTGAGCCACTGTGCCTTTCATACAGTAACTTCTCCATTTGAGGCAAACACTGGAAGTCCTGCCTATCTCAGCAGCAACCAGTATCCCAGCATATCACTGGCCTGCTTATTTATGATCGCCAGGAAGGAGCTCAGCTGTGCCTAGCAAAACACAAGGCACCGGTTCTTAATTCTTTATTCCAGGGACAATTTGACACTAGCTGAATTAATTCAAGCAAGAAATGGTTGTATTTAGCACTTGAATGCCATTACCAGATATTCAATGTGTTTCATGTGCATTGTCCTAGAAAGGATGATATTCAGGGCAGGATGCAGCAGTTGGGGCTTTGGGAACTCTTGATTTTATTTGACAAATCCCCAAGATGCCATGAAATTAATAAGGGCTGAGACATAAATTTAAATGAGGACAGGTCCCTGAAGTTTTTCAAAGCCTTGTTTTTATCTGTTTTGGCTCCTGACTGTCAGGACATTTCCCTTTCTCTCATCATACAAAGGCAATGCAATTCAAGGAGTTTAAAATACTAAGAATTCTTGATGTTGAACTCTTCTTGTTCTGCCACTGGAGTTTTACATTCTACTGGGCTGCAACAGTAAGAATTGTTCTTTTGAGTCAAGCAAATAGAGCTGGCTGGCTTGGATGAAGATTCTTCTTTTTCTTCTTTATTCCCATCAGGTTCAATCCAGTGGTGCTTCTGGAGTGAAAAAATCAGCTGATAAGGTGCTGTTCTTGCCCCGGGGGGACATCCAAATGTGTTCACACTCCTCATGTTCGTCAGGCTCACTCTGTATCCTTCTGAATACAGATGAAACAGATGCTTTGGATAAAAATGTAAAGTACCATTTTCAAGAAACCTTATTTCAGATTACCAACGGTAGAATCTGCTGTTGTATCAGTGGAGGAGCAATCATTCCAGTGAGAAATAATACACTGTCCAAAATCCCGTTGAGTAAAGTACACCTGCATAAGTATGGATACATCATCCAGGAGATGGAGGCTGTTGGTAATTGAAGTTCTTGCTTAGAGTCCTGGGTCACCTGACCTGCCTGCAAGTAACTTAAAATCAGTCTCACTACCAACAAATTAGGTAATTGAACCAGGGACTGAAGCAGGAACCAGAATCCTTGACCTTACACAGGCAGAATTTTGGTCTCAGGAGAGAATTTTCAATTAAGCAGCAGTGGCACTCCTCCATTTTTTAAAAGTTGCTTAACTAGCAGAATACGTCCATTCACTCCAGAGGCCCGGCTGCCTCATGGAAAAGTGCCTCCGTCTGCACTTCTATGCTGCATACAAGAGATTTACCATCCAATTCTGTGCATGTATACTGCAAAGTAATTCAGTTCAAAGGGAGTCACTGCCAGTCAAGTACATATAAAACGTCATTATTCCTAAAATCTCTTTTTAGCAACCTGTGTTGAATTAAGCACGTGCACCCACACTTCATAAACAAGCTGCCTTAGGATAATATTGGGTAACGTGTTCCCCAAAGTACCCTGTGGGCATCTGAGTTTGTTCAGTCCCACAGGTGAGTTCAAGAAAAGATGTTCCTCTTCAGTGGTTTTCTCAGCTCTACACTGACCCCTGGTGTAGAGAAGCAGTCTCGAAACACTAATTATTTTTAAAGGACATAACACAAAAGAAATGTAAAGAAATCAATTCCTTTGCATCCTTGTATGTCCTCATCGCATATACCATAAGAAAGGCACTTTGATGGCAGGTAATAATAATGGTACCAGAAAAGAAACAGTAGGGGCCCACAGAGATGACATCCCACTGCCCAAGGAAGGATGAACCCAATACAGTTCCATGTAAGCCAACATGACAGCATTTCTCCACATAATGTTGATTGGGCAAAGGTACACAGTACAGTACTCTGAATGCTTGCTCTGAAACTTGCTTCTCACACTTTGCCAACAAAATATGTAGTTCTGTTAAACCCCACCCCTTACCTTCCAAAATAAAAGTGGAGGAAACATGCCCTCTCAGCACTTTCCCTCCCACCCCTCCTTACAACTTGCTAACCTTAACCAATGTAGTAAGCCTCCTACATTACTTTGTCATGTCTCCTGGGCAACTGAAATCCCACTCTGTACCTCCCATTCTGAGGCTCAAGGAGAATATTCCATTCGATAAAATGGGCTAAAAAATAGCTTAATAAAACTTTTAAGTCAAGAGCAAAAGGCTGCCAGGGTCAGTATTTAGTATTTACAAGTTTATTTCTCTTTTGCTGTACACGGGCAGAAGTGCAGCTCACCCCCTCCCCCCCAAAAAATTCCATTTGTGACCATTTAAACATGATACACATGACACATGATCCAAGCAATTTCAGTTTCTTCCAAGAATTGCCGCAATAGTTCCATACTGAGATTAATGACTATCCTAGGAACATCCACAGTATAGTGCATAATGGTTTTATAACCTTATTTACGGGACTCCATTCTAGTGCATGGTATCTCCTCTTCCGGATTTTAATATAGATTCAGTAATTCCACTTAGCAACAGTGCAGTTTCAGAACTAAAGTGCATTTCTTCAAAAACTGTCCCTTGTTGAACACATTTGGCTCCAGATTCTGTTCTGAAAGCTTTTTTTAAAAAGGAATAATTACAACTCATGTTTATTGCCACTTCCATTCAATAAGCTCCACGTGGCAGAGTTCACACTCACATGATACAGATTTGGGCAGCTACTATATACATTCAAGCCTGTACAGTAAGACAAACTGAAGTCACGTTTTCAAAATTTAACTTAAGGCTGTCTTTAAGTTTGGGGTGGTGGTGAGCAAAGAGCAGGGACAGCGAAAGGTCTGCAATCACAGTCTGCTCTTGGTCCTTTTAATGCAGCTGTGAGGAACACATTACACATCTGTACATGCCCCTGGTGAAGTTAAATCCTGGACAGTCAAGAAAGCTGAAGCTCAGGAATCAAGATCTTTAATAATTCAGCACCTCTTCACATTTCCCATGATGTTCACTGCAGAAGTGAAAAAAGAAAAGATGCCAGTTTAAATAGCAGCGTACAATGAAGCAGCAACCATATCAATGCAACAGATTAAATATATTTAAATGGGAGAGGGTTCAATTCACCAGGGTGGATATGAGCCCATAAGTCTAGATTTAAATTGTGGTATTTTTATATAAATGCTCATCCTTGCTAGTTGCTTAATCTTATCATTTACAAACCAAATGAAGATTTCATTTTTAGAATAATAACTTTTATCAGAACGGTAATGATTGTTTTGTTCCTTGCCATTTGTATTAATATTTTTTTTAAAAAAGAAAACTATCTTTAGATAGATTTTTTCCTCAAAAAAAAATGCACTTTATTAAACAAAACATAATTTAAATAAAACCAGTTGAATTTTAATTTTAAAAATCTCTTTTTAAAACATCATTGATTTTATCCACCCTGGAATCCACTGAGAAAGTCAGAATCCTACAAAAATGGCTCATGTACATGAACAGAGGAAAGGCTGAAGTTGTACTAAATACAGAGTGCCTTATAGCACCCAGAATACTACAAGGTTTTATTTGGCATATGCTTTCATGCACGGCAACTCACTTCTTCAGTTGCAGCTAAAACAAAAGAGTGCTAGAACCCAGGTTCCCATTAAGCTGGGTGCACGCATGTGTGCACACAATTCACCTTCCCTCCGTGCAGCTGTCTTCCTCTTTCACACAGCAATCGCGTTAGGTTCCGGTTGCGACAAAACCCAATGCATGGGGGGGGAGGGTTTAGTCTCTTGCGCACACACAGGGGCAGAGTCACATGTGTGAGAGGCGGAGCCCTGCCCAGTGGGCTAAAAATTAGAGGGTACGCTGACTACAATCCATGAAAGCTTATGAAAAATAAAACTTGCTGTTCTTTTAAGGTCCCAAAGGACACTCTTCTATCTTGCAACAGAGTAGCTACCAGACACCCACCCTTCTGGCAATTTGTACATGTTTATGTTTCATTTTTTATTAGTATTGCTAATGTCATTTTAGGCACACATGGCTAATACAGGCTATATACAACAAATAAAACACATTAAGTGCACATTTAGGGAATACATTTATTTGGGGGGGGGACAGTGTAAGATTAAATTTCCTGTCCTTCTCAACACTGAATTCTCTGCTCCAGAATCCCACAAACTTTTGTGCAACCGCAGCCCATGTGCCCTTTGGAAAACACTGTTGAGGACTCACTTTCTCCCTCACATTTAACTTCAACTCTGTGTCTCTGGTTTACTTCTGTTCAGCTATCGTGGTTCAGCCATACCTCCTCAGTTGAATGCCCATACTGGCATCTCTCTTTAATCACCCTCTATCATCTCACACCCACCATCTCCTCCTTTGTCTACTCTGAGTTCTCCTTCTGTTCAGCTTTCAAACCCTCAAATTGTCCAACACAGAGTTTCCATATTATTCAGTGAAGAGGTACACAACTGGTGGTGTGAAACCAAAGTTAAGCCTATCCTATACTGGCTCCCACTCTGTAACTCATAGAAATTAAAAGCTAAGGCTCACACCTTACGACGTGTCCTACCATCAAAAGTTAACAAACTTTCAACTTACTCTACATGCCACAACACCTTGCCCTTGGGTTTTGAGGCCCAAGTCCAGAGGACAAGAATGGAGTGCTTAAGACCACCAAAGATGCCCCCTCTTGTCCTGGTCCTGGACTGTCTTAAAAAGCCTCAGTGCCTTCCTAAAGCGATCATCCTGTGGACTGACTCATGCCTGCTTGTCGCTTACATCAATAGCCAGCAGGATGACTTAAACGGGGGGGGGGGGCTTATTAGACCATTATTTAAATTTTTTAAGGGTTGAGCATACTCTTCTAGCATAACTTGGTTTAAAACTGCATACTCCCAAAAGCACTTCACAACAGAAAAGACCAGAGGGCTATTATTTATGACGTTAATTGTGTAACTTGATACTCCATGCAAGTTCTTGCGAGTACTTACACAGGAGAAGCAGCACTTAGGTTCACCAAAACTGAAGGAATTACAGACCTGTCTAAATTCCAGAGTAAAAAAGGGTGAATCTGTTAACTTTCTATGCATATATACTGGACAACACCAGCAATCATTACGTCAGACTGCACAGGGAAGCCATTGAAATCCACAAGCACCAGAAAAACTTCAATAAAAAAGAGGAAAGTTTGAAACTCAACAAAACTTGGCTCCCATCTCTCAAAAATACAGCATGCAAAAGGTCACGAACTCTACCCAACCACAAGGTCAAGGGGATCACCACCATCAACCACAGTGACAATCTCCTTATCACAACAATACACACACGACAAAACACACTAATCACCCATCCACAGAAAACAATACCCCCACAACAATACACACTAATCATCCCATCTCACAGCCATAAATACTCCACGCCCTAGCCAACCTACACAAGAGCAGTTTGCTGTCCTCTGAAGATGCCGGCCACAGAGACTGGTGAAACGTTAGGAAAAACCACCTTCAGAACCCGGCCAAGAAGCCCGAAAAACCCACAACAACCATATATACTTTGCTACACCTGTTGCAATTTCCATATGATTCACAGTATTTTTCAAGTATCTTAAAAACATCAGTGTTCACATAATTAGCTCAAAATGAATCATTTTATAAACTACAGAATCATTTTTTTTCCAGTGCACTTTAGTGGGGCATGACTATTTGGGTTTAACTAAAAAATGCCAAATCAGCTGACAAGGCAGATGCACTCTGAACACTTAGGCCCTATCCAAACACTACAGGCAGAAACTGTGTAGAGCTTTCAATAGGATGGGGGACACAGGGAGGCGCATCCTGCCCCCAATGCTTTGTCCACCTGGAAGTCACTCAGTTGTTTGTGTGTTCAGCTCAATGGATTTACAGTGCTCTTGTGACTGTGAAATCCCATGAAGCATCACCACATAAGCACTGTAAGCATACTCCTCCAAATGCACTTTACAGATGCTTCGTCAGAACTGCATGCTAAACCTGCAAAAGTCCGAATGGGTGGGTGTTGGAATGTGCACACCCCATCTGTACCATGCTTCAGTGCTATACTGTTTCATGCTATAATGTCTGAAAAGGGCTTAAATTATGGTGACCCCATGTCACACTGTATCAAGTGATAGCCTTGGTACCTATGTAGTGACTGTCACAGTTCTTATGTATATTATTCATTTTATCAAGTTTCCAATAGGTAAAATATCAATTTGTTGTGAGTCATATTTATAAGAATTCACTCCATTACTATATTTACCTCCATCACCAGTTGTTTCCTATTTACTTGTGCATGAAACGTTAGCAGTACTTTTCAGAGCATCAGCATCTGGATTATCTAATGGCACCTCACATAAATAAACATCAATTGGCCCCTTGGTGCTCCTTATACGTATTTCTATGCAGTCCTGCAAGACACAAATGTTTGTTAAGAACAGGGTCGGAAACAAGCTATAACAATTATTGCAATTTAATCCAGAGGAGATAAGCAACATTCCATAGGACAAATACAGTTTGCAGATGTTTCTCATCTACTTTGCCAACTCTTCTCCACAAAGTCCTACCTCCCCAGCCCTCACCCACCCAAAGGGCTGCTTTTCTGAACCCTGGAATCAGATTTGGTTACCAACAAAGCCCTGCAGAAAGGCAGCCCTTTCTGAATCCCTGAGCTAGAGTGGAGTTTCAGAGAGAGGGCAGAATCTGCCTCCTGAGATCACCCAGGGGGATGGTCCAAGGAAGCATTTTGTCCCACGGGCTGGAACAGTTCTCCAGCTCTGCAATAGGTGTGGATAGGTTACAATGATAGTCTGACATTCAGATTAGAGATGGGGACAAATATAAAAATGGATTTGTTTTTTCAACGAATATTGCCTATCCGTCATATATTCGTTGATCCATGTTTGTCAAATTTTAAGTCCCAACGAATACGGCGTGATGAATATTTCTCCATTTTTATTTGTCCCTGTATGAAGAAGGAAAAAAGCCATCCTATGGGTTTTCCATTCTGCCTACCAGCCCGCCGATTGGCTGATTGGCGGGCCAATAGGCAGCCACCCACTCCCACAGCCTACCCCCCCCCCTTCCTCTCCATATTTTACCCCCCTGCCCCCACCTCCGCTGACACTGCCTTATAGCAATTGTCGCCACTGCTGCCCTTTGCAAAGTTGGCAGCTGCAGTTTCCCTACCCTAAATGAAGCCGCAGCTGCCATCTTTGCAAAGGGCAGCCAGTGTCCCTTTCTACAGCTGTGGAGGCCTGAAGGAGCCCTCGGCAGCAGCGGAGACGATTACAGTAAGGGGGTGGCAGTGTCACAGTGGTGTATTTTTTTAGTAACCCCCACGAATTGACAAATAAATTTGTTATTCGTTGGTTCATGGGGGCAACTTTGTGCTTCGCGAGTCGTCAATTTTTGATGACTCACAAAGCGGGATGACTTGCCAAAATGGTGAGTCAGCTCCATCTTTAATTCAGATCATCACCAGACTAGCATGTTGACGACGGTAAAGCTTCTGGACAGTCAGTAGTTTTCACACAGCAACTACAAAAAGCCCCAAACCCCATCTTCCAAAAAGACTGTTTATAAGCCACTTAACTCAGGGGGTGGCAACTGAGGGAGATGACAGTGTGACGCCCAGACCATATTTGGTTCCATGACCATCATTTGCTGTCTTCTACTTTAAGCACATACTTTTAATATAGCCCAAAAAATAGTCTGTGGAACTATATTCTCTCTATAGTGTTTTTAACTTTCTTTCTATTCAGCAGAGAATATGTTTTAAATTATTGTTAAATTACCTAGATGGGGTGGTATATGAATGAATGAACAGACGGATGGACGGAAGGAAACTCCAGATTCCCTCTCCAAACATATTTATGTACTTTACGGTTTGATTCTCATTAAGCAATCTCAAATATGTTCCTTTTAAAATGTAGTTAACGTGTTTTACAGGGCAGTATTGAGAGCACATATTTCAAAGTCTTATTGCTCCGAAGGAAAAATGTCAGCCTAAGCTGTACTAAATACTGTACTATATTCTGACCTATGGAAACACTTAACACATTTCCAAAAAACTGTTATTACTTCCAAATTGCCTTGATGGAAAGTACTGTCTGAGACAACTAGAATAATAGAAATGCTGACATAATTCTTTAGAAGGAGAGCAGTGTCCTCATACACCAATCGAGCCAATCACACCCTATAAATTGGAAACATTTGTCAAGAAGAACGTACCTCTTCTGGAGCAGGTATCTCCATTTTGGTTTCTTCAGGAGCTTTGATGGCAATAATTAACTGTTCTTGGAAAGTTTGAATGCTACGGATATCTTGGTAAGTCACATAAGCTAGTGTATACAGGAGTCAAGGAGTCTGAGTAGCAGCCTCTAGTAGAATGTATGCTAGTAAGAAGCAGACCCAGCTGGATGACTATGCCAATACTACATTTATCATTGGATGAGGTAAAGCTATGCAGTTGCTCAACTCCAGCAAATCAACATTAAGAAAAAGGATATCTTGCATTTTCCTTGTCATCTGTTAAATCAAACAACTGGTGAGCACAATCCTTGATTAATTCATCCAGTGCTGCTTCCATGGTTGTTAAGTCATAAAGTTCATCTCGTAATTTCTGTTGCTCTGGAGTTCTCGCAGTAATCTGCTTAATATCTGATCCCCTAAAACAGAATAAAAATATTTTCTGCCTTACCGCTGGAATTTTCTATAAAACAAGGAGGTATTATGTTATTACTATAGGAATAACAAAGCAAAACTGGCAGTAAATATTGTCATCTCTGACAGATACAGATTTCATAAGAAACAGTCTGTTTCACAGAATGCACACCAACAGCCCAATCCAATGTTGAGTTAGGCTGGTATAAACCCACTGCAATCTGCTCAGCGTCCACCTATGCAGATATCACACACTTATTAATTATTCTGTATCCTTCTGTATAATACACAATATTTGTAAGTGTACTGTAATTGCTGCTAAGTTTGCACGGCAAAAAAGGTTCTGTGCCCTTTGATTCAAAGTTCATTCAGAGTAACCACAGAATGAATTTGGTTTTAAATAAATTTAGCTCTTATGTTTAGGAATAAGACAGCTTAACAACCATCTTTTTATACATATTGCATAGTGATTATCACCAATAATCCTGTGACTTAAGCTAGTATTACTGTATCCATACCAGTGGCAAAGTCATATATTTGTTTTCAAGGCATGATCTGAAGAAAAGTCCTCCAAGCTCACATTTCATATTTCTTAATTACCATACAACATATGTTCTGTCTGAAACAATGTTTTCCTCACAAGGTCATATTATAAAACCAACACATATGATTTTAATTGATGTTTTAAAAGATAAATGTGAAAGCCAACTTACACCCACTGGATAAGGTTCTTGGATCTTTTCTGAATAAGATGAATTCCATCCAATACGTTTGTGATATCATACACTCTTCGTTTTCGGACTCCCAGCATACGGGACACCTCATTCAAATCGAGAACACCTTGAGGAGCCATTTTAACAAGATCCATGAATCTCCTGGTCAGCTGAACCAGAGACCCATCATAACGGGGCTTTCTGCTTTTCATAGATTCTGTACAAGTTTGAACAGCAGTTTTAGTTAGCCACTGAAGAAAACACGACAAACAGTTCAGCACAGTTGTATCAAGCCCTTGGGTTACTGAATTAAACCACTCCACCCAAACATTCATCTTTGCAACAATGAAGCAACAAAGGATTTTTTGCTCTTTTTTTTTCTACCTTTAATCTATTGGTAAGAATGTACCAACTGGATTTCAACTCCCAGAATTATCCATTCCAGGAGCAACCCTGACAGACACACATGAACAAACACCAAAATGAGGCTCACCTAGAGATTCCCAGCAAACACAGAGCAACTTCATGTTTTGGAACAGAAAGCTAGGGCATGAATCCTTTCTTCAGGTGAGCCACATTTAGGTGTCTGTAGGTGTGGGTCTATCATGTGGAAGGTAAAAAACAAAGAAACAAAATGGCACATCCCTATCCACTGCCAACCTCCTTCTCCAGCAAGGTTTGACATAACAGGATAATGATTTTTTAGCACATGAACAAGACTACAAGAGTCTCAGCTCAGTTGCTTCCTTCATATGGAGTTGTGAAGCAAACCACATGTCCCAGTTACATTCACACTCTGGGAACCATGGTTTGTTAAAACAAACCAGTATTGCTGTTGCCCTTTTAAAAACAACAAAAATATTTAGCTGTGCCTCACAGTTCCTATATAGGGTGCCCAATAAGTGTATCCTGATTTATGTTTCTGGATTGCAACTTCCCCACACACAGGAGAGATCAAGTGAAAAAAGGCAGGCATGCAGATTAGAAAGGTAGGTAGGTGTACACACGGGCACTTCCATGCAGATGCATCTGCCTTCCCTGCCTCAGGCTGTTTGCTCTATGTGGCGAAGGTGTGTGCACACATGCGTAAAAAGAAAAGACAGCATCAGGAGGTCCAGTAGCATGAAGCACTGAGGCACCAAGGAGATATACTGTATAGAGATTTGTGTTTTTGGACCACAATTCTCAAATTTCTACCTAATAAATTCTTAAGAGGATCCTAGGTGTTGTAGTCTGGGGAATTTTGAGAGGTATGATCCAAAAACATTAATTTCCACATGCTCAGTATACACTTCTCCCTCCAAATGACATAGGGGTTGGGGCGCTGCACATCTATGTAATTCAAAATCCATGTATTACTCTATTACTCCTAAAATGTAGTTACAAAGCTTAAGCAGTTCCTTTAAACACACACACACACCCTGACCTGCTTCAGCCTCCCACCATGCCTCAGCACCCTCCCCAGCTGCCACATGGAGTTGTAGTTACAAAGCTTAAGCAGTTCCTTTACACATACACACACACACCCTGACCGGCTTCAGCCTCCCACCATGCCACAGCACCCTCCCTAGCTGCCACATGGAGTCACTATGACAGGAGAGGGGGCCGGCCAGGCCGAAACTGGGGACCACTACACCGGCAACAACAGGTCCCTAGGTAAGCCCAAGACCCAATTCAAGGGGAGCGTGTACCTACCTACTGTTCTTTCTACAGTAGTCTCAGAAAGAGAGAACTCAGAACATATAAAAGGAAACTCTGTTGCTTGAGCAGTAAGGGGACATTGTTGCCATCACTCCCATGACCAATGGAAGGTGGGAAGCAGCAGTATTGCCACAGACCCTGGGAACATGGCTACCCCTGCTCCTCTGTTCCACATTTTTCACTATACTTTCCTTCTTCTGTCCCAGACTGGCCAATGATAGCAAATGTAACCACTGCACGAGCGTAGGATTGGTGCCTCCCTCTCCCTATCTGTGGTTTATGTATAGTGTTGTGGTCAATTGGAAATGAAGTGGCAAGTTTACACACTAATTTTTAAGTGTTTACCTTTGGTGATACATCGCTTGACTTATTTCCAAAGTTAATTTAAGTTACAAGGCAACTGTTTAGTCCCAACTCAAGCAGAATTAATTAGTCATAAAGACTGATTTAGGAAGTGCCACACTCTTCATAATGCAGACCGGGACTGAAGTACATGAAAATAGTCTTGTGATTAGATGTCCCCCCCAGTGTTTTTTAAAGGAAAACAAGACAGAACTTACTTCTAACTTTCATGAAGGATCCCCCCTCATTCGCTTCTTTATGGCTAATAGACACGAACTGTACATCATCTTCATTTTCCACTTTAATGTGTGTCTATGAAGATAAAAATCTACATCAATTGAAACAATATTTATTCTTAATGAAACTGAAAGCCAATTTCAAAAACAACTGCTCAATCAGTATGCAAATTATGCCAAATCCTGTTGGTGTATGATAACCTAATTGTAGGAAATTATTACTGTATCCTGTAACAAACATGGCAGTAAAATGGGTCAGTAGAGAAATTTACAGACAAGCTGTAACAACACTTGCTCTTGATGTAATTATTCTAGGATGGGAGTAGACACCCATCCATAGCAGTTGCAGGGGAAGTGAAGGACAAGTAACCCAGCGTCTCAGTGATGTGCTCCTGCCTAACTCCTTTTAAATTGTACACATTTTATTTTTCTATAAACATACACTCCAGAAAAGCAGACCATGAAAAATAAATGAAGAGAAAACTGGAGTCCCAAGAGCTCAATGAATTCACAAGGCCTCCTTTCACACTTCTAGTATCTATTTTGACAGCACAAAGTAGATTGTCTCTCAGTGATCCTTGTGCAGTATCTGAGTTTTCACATGATATTTACAGTATATGCTGTAGGGCCAGAGGCTGTGTATCCCAGAAGACCCAGCCTGTGTGGCCCTGGGCAAGCTGCACAGTCCCAAGATGTCTCCAGAAGAAGGAATAGCAAACCAGTTCTGAGTACTTTATACCTGGAAAACCCTGAAAAGATTTGCTGTAGGTCAGAATTGACCTGATAGTATATAAAAAATAACCTCTTGTAGTAAACAGAACTCTTTAGCTTATGATGCTAACCAAGATATGAAACATGTCAGGAAGAGAGAGAAGGCAAGGAGAAGTTACAGGCATATTTTAGCATCTGATGCTGTGACTTTATTCTGCAACATTGCAAAGAAAATCTATCCAATCTGCTTTTTACTGATTTTCCTAAAACTAAGTGGACTATGTAAAACATCCCCAGCTTTCTTAATATAAAATGCAGTCCAGCTTCTAATTTGCTTTTCACTTATTTTTTTAAAAAATTATCAATTTTTGCTCATAGAGAGGTTCCAGTCAATAGCAAAATTTTATACAGTACAGTATTTTCAAAAACACAAGATCATCTTTTTGTCCCCAATGAGCTTTATTCGAAGGTCATCAGTTGCCAGCCTCGCATTTTGGGACACGTGAGTGAACCTAACAAATATATGTTGTTATGAGGAGGAAATAGGGGTGACTGTCTGACGAATCATGGATTGACAATCATGGATTGCTGCCCCTGGCGAAGGGGCTTGAGTAACTCAGAGAAGCTATGGGCTATGCCGTGCAGGGACACCCAAGACAGACAGGACATAGTGGAGAGTTCTGACCAAACGCAATCCACCTGGAGTAGGAAATGGCAATGCCACTCCAGTATCTTTGCCAAGAACGCCCCATGATCAGAAACCATTAAGAAAGCTGACCGCCGAAGAATTGATGCCTTTGAATTGTGGTGCTGGAGGAGGCTCTTGAGAATCCCCTGGACTGCAAGGAGAACAAACCTATCAATTCTAAAGGAAATCAACCCTGAGTGCTCACTGGAAGGACAGATCCTGAAGCTGAGGCTCCAGTACTTTGGCCATCTCATGAGAAGAGAAGACTCCTTGGAAAAGACCTTGATGTTAGGAAAGTGTGATGGCAAGAGGAGGAGGGGACAACCGAGGATGAGATGGCTAGACAGTGTCTGCGAAGCAACCAACATGAAATTGACAGAACTCCGGGAGGCAGTGGAAGATAGGAGGGCCTGGCGTGCTCTGGTCCATGGGGTCACGAAGAGTCGGACACGACTAAACAACGACGACGTCTGAGAAACAGGCAATGCCATCATGAATTTATTTATTTGATTCCTATACCACCACACTACTTTGGACGGTTGACAAAGCTTTAACTGAAAAATCCCACAGACAGGCATAACAATAACGAACCAACAAAGCAACATTTTGTAAAAGGCAGTCTAAGATAATGAATAAGGAAAGCGTCCATGCGAGCAACAAGCACGCTAATGACACGCAGTGTTCCTGAATACCTGGGAAATCACAACCCAAGGCCTTGGGGCACTTTCAAAGAGTACCACATTTTATTTGACTTCTCCCGGTTCTGTGGACGACGACGCCCTTAGAAACGCAGGATCGTGCAACTGGAG